TTGTGTATTAAAATTAAAAATCATCCAGTTGAAATTAAAATTCTTGTAATTTTTGTATATAGTGGAAGGTAGTGATCCAGTTTTAATCTTCTGAATATGGCTAGCCAGCTATTCCAGCACCATATGTTGAATAGGGAGTCCTTTCCTCATTGCATATTCAACTTTGTCAAAGATCAGATGGCTGCTGTAGGTATGATGCTTTATTTCTGGGTTCTCTAGTTTGTTCCATTGGTCTCTTTCTGTTTTTGTACCAGTACCATGTTATTTTAGTTACCATAGCCCTATAGTATAATTTGAAGTTGGGTAATGTAATGCCTCCAGCTTTCTTCCTTTTGTTTAGGATTATTTTGGCCATTTGAGCTCTTTTTTGGTTCCATATGAATTTTAGAATACTTTTTTTAGAATTCATTGAAAAATGACATTGGTAGTTTGATAGGAATAGCATTGACTCTAGAGCTTGCTTTGGACAGTCTGGCCATTTTAACAATATTGATTTTTCTAATCCATGAGCAAGGAATGTTTTTCCATTTGTTTGTGTCATCAATGATTTCTTTCAGCAGTGTTTTGTAGTTTTCCTTGTAGAGGTCTTTTACCTCCTTGGTTAGATTTATTCCTAGGTATTTTACTTTTTGGTGACTATTGTAAATGGGATTGTGTTCTTGATTTGGCTCACAGTTTGAACAATATTGCTGTATAGGAATGCTACTGATTTTTGTACATTAGTTTTGTATCCTGAAACTTTACTGAAGTCATTTATCAGTTCCAGGAGCCTTTTGGCAGTCTTTCGAATTCTCTAGGTATAGAATTATATTGTCAGTAAAGAGAGATCATTTGGCTTCTTTTCCTATTTGGATGCTTTTTATTTCTTTCTTTTGCCTGATTGCTCTGGCTAGGACTTCCAGTACTACGTTGAATAGGAGTGACGAGGGTGTGCATCCTTGTGTGATAAAAATTATTTAAATCACAGAAAGCTAATAATGGAATTGGGGGATTTTAATATTATATTTATATTTTGCATTTTTATAATGTTTCCATCAAACTTGTGAAAGATAAGACTCAGGGAGAACAGTTCTGAGTTGATAGAAATTTACAGTAAAATGTATCAGATTCACTTCTGTTTAAAATAGGTAAATTGAGATTGGGATCAAGAACACAGGAATGTTACTGAGAGTGCTGTAATGTGGCTCAGTAAGTAGATGGAGGGATGAAATCCTCCTGAGATCTCCTCTTGCTGCTCAGTCACCACCATGAGATTGTGATAATAGAGTTTGGCCAGGTACCTCTTGCTTCAATTTATGTAACCATCTCTGGAGAAAGGACCTATGGAGCTTATTAACTGAGCAAGATTCCTCTTGAAGTTTTGACAAAACCATTTCCATTTTCTATTATTCAGTTTGCCTAAATTTTATGTGTCAGTCAATGGATATTGAAAAATGTAAATTTTAGAAAGATGTCAAATAAATTCTAGGCATTCAAGACCCGATATTAATCCTAGGCATTCAAGACCCAATAGGTGGGATATGTTGTTTGGGTATTCTATGTCAATATTTTTAGGTATTTGGTCACAACCAGGAGAAAAAAAGTTCTTATTTTATGATCCTGAAACTCAGAATATGAACTGCTAACATAAATTGAGATTAATATTCTTATCCTACTCTTGACTCCTTATATTTTGCTTTGCCAAAAGTTTAGATGAAAAAAAGATCTTGAAAGTGGAAATAAGGAAATTTGTTTTATATAAGCTGAATCACTTATTAATATATACTATTAAATGCTAAGAATGAATTTTATAATTTAAAAGTTCATTGTACATGTCTTTCAATGAAGCCAAAGTTATTGAGAATACCATATGGTTTTAGAAGATATATTTGGTGTCTTCAGGAACTTGAAACTTCTAAATTATTAACAGCTGTCAGAATAAAATAGACCATATATATTTGGAGTTTAGTTCTTTGTAGTGGGGAAATTTGTGGATTTCCTGCTTTAGCCCAGCTGATGAGAAGAATCACAATATGAGAAGAAGTGATGAGAAGAATGCATAAGTATGTTAGATGGTTGCACAGGATGAACAGTTTTGCTACAGAATATGAGATAGATGAGAGGGAAGATAAATTTAAAGGCTGTATCATCAATTTAAAAATTAGACAATTAAAATGGGAAAATAACACTGCCAATTGGTAAGAGTTTCATTATGCCCAGGGGTTCTCAATCTAGGCACTACTATCATTTTGAGCCAGATAATTCTTTGTTGTGAAGTATATCATATGCATTGCAGGATGTTATATAATACATTGTAGCAGCATCTCTGGCACTAACCCATTAAATGACAATAGAAACCTTTCCCCAGTTGTGACAAACAGAAATGTCTCTAGACATACTAAATGTCTTCTTGCGGGGCAAACTTGTCCCTAGTTGAGAACCACTAAGCTAGACTACTTCAAAATAGTTCCAAAAATCACATTCCAGTTATATGCTCAAGATAGAATAGGGTGAAGGAGCAGATTTATTGAGAATTTTGTTGAACATGTTATCAGGATGAGGCTTTATTTGGGAAGTACTGTAATTAAGGTGTAGATCCTGCATGTATATTGTATTGATGAAAGGCTAATTATTTTGTTTTCAGTGTAGAGTTAAATACGTATAATAGGAGCACAAATATTATAGGTGATGAGATTGTCTTTTATTTTTGCCTCCCTCCTAAAAGCCTTACAAATATATACAGGACAGCCAGAGTTATTTTCCAAAACTGAATCTATAGTAGGGTGGCATTGGATAGACTGGGTATAGCTTCACATTTGCTTAAGTTTCACTGTCTCTGCTTAGAGACCTGCATAATCTTATGTGCCTGTCTTCATATATTCTAGATTACATGACATGTATAGCAAAGACTGTTTGTGTGCACCAGATATCCTTATGCTTCTCTTCTTTCTCAGCCTCCCTTGTAGCTAAGCTGGGGACACATAACTAGTTCTGCCCAGGGGAATGTGAGCTGAGCACAACTTCTGGACTGAGGAAATTAAAAGCCAGAATGCCTCTTCCATCTCTCTCCTCTTCTATCAGAGTGACTTTGGGGACCTTGTTTATATGTGTTCTTGTGAACCAAAGAAATATAGTAGCGCTTCTTTGATCCCCCCCCCTTTTTTTTTCTTCATTTTATCTGTTTTCTCTTCTCTTTTTCTGTGATGTCCCTTAATGGGAAGTTGGACTTTCTGAGTTGATCTGCTTAATTCTCTTTTATCACTTTCTCTATGTTTCTGCTTTCTGGAACCCAGTTGGAATTGGATCACATGGAATAGAAGGTTCAGCTAAGACTTGAGAGCACAGGTACCACTGCTAGTTGCCTTTCTTCATGTTAATGATATGGTGAGAAACATGTACTAGGGGTGAACAGTTACTTGGAATGGTGCTACACATAATCCAGCACATGCATCGGAAGAAGGTCAGGAGATTTGGGAGCTGATTTTTCAGTAAATAAAAGATAAATGACAAGGTCTCACATAGAGAGAGGCAGCACACAGATCACGGTTATTAGAGCATGGCTTCTGCTGCCAATTGCATGGATATGAATCTCAGTTTTGACTGCTTATTCGTTACGTGACCTTTGGCCTGTTACATAAACTCTCTGAGCCTGATTTGTCTGATCTGAAGAACGAATATTAGTACCTATAGGGTGTAAGAATGCAATGTATTTTAAGAGTACCTGTTCTGTAGCATAGAATCCTTCCTTCCTTTTCTTCCTTCTTTCCTTCCTTCCCTCCCTCCCTCCCTCATTCCTTCTTTCCTTCCTTTTTTCCTTCTTTTCCTCCTTTTCTTCCTTCCTTCCCTTCCCTTCTCCTTCCCTTTTTCCTTCCTTCCTTCCCTCCTTCCCTTTTTCCTTCCCTCCTTCCCTCCTTCCTTCCTTCCTTCTTCCTCTTTCCTTCCATCCCTCCATCCCTCTCTTCCCCCCTTCCTTTCTATATTTCCTTAAAGTGCTTCTTTTATTGTAAGTGCTATGTAGATGTTTGCTCTTACTGTTAATTGGATTGTAAATTAAAAGCATTATCTACCGTGAGCCTATGAGCTTAATAATTTTTTGAGTTTTATAGAGCCTGTTGTATTTCTCACTGTATACTCCCACAGTTAGTATTAATAAGTTAAATGCTTTCATCATTTTGCTTGCTTCATCTTTTCTACCAGGCACAGGACTGCTGGTAACATAAGTGGTACTTACTGCAAAAGAAGGAGGTACCCTTTCCTCTGAGCATGTCAATGATTGTGCCTGTTTGGCAAGCACAGCATGGGCTGTATTTCATTTCCCGTGTGCCTACAGGCACCTGCAGACTGAATGCTACTCCACTGTACAGGGCCCTGACTGGGACATTACTCCCAGAAGGAAAGCTGTCCAGGGAGACTCAACTCTCACATTCCAGGGTGAATTCTCTCACTGGGATTAGGTTTTTAGGAATAGTGGCATTTACTGTCTTGATTTCTTTGCCCTTCCCTTTCTGCTCTCAAAGGTGGGGAGTATCACTCGAAGGCCTAGGTTTTTAGGAATAGTGGCATTTACTGTCTTGATTTCTTTGCCCTTCCCTTTCTGCTCTCAAAGGTGGGGCCTATCACTCGAAGGCCTAGGTATGAGAGGGAATCAACAGATTGTCAAGTCCTTGACTCGATGAGTATTTTTAAATCTTTAGGATTTGATGAGATTAGTTAGGTGTAGTGAGTGAAATAAGACGAAAGAACACAGGGCTGAGCCCTAAGGACCTTAAACCTTCAGAGATCATCTGAAAAGATAGGAGTGGGCAAAAGCGATTGAAAAGGAGAACTCACAAAGAAAGGAGGAAAATGGAGGGGGAATTATCACAGAAGGTAAGTGAAGAAAGAGATAGAAAACCGAAGACTAGGCTTTGTGAATTGCTGGGAGGGTTATGTGGTTATACAAATTATTGTAATCGTTCATGACTAACTGAAAAGTAATGCTAGCATTTCTGTTTCCTCCTGCTCACCCTCCTGTCTCATAGGTGACAGCCTCTGATGCAGATTCAGGAATCTATGGCTTTATTGAGTATTCTCTTTATGATGGATTCCTGAGCTATGAAGCACCTCAGGCATTTCGGATCGACCCTCATGATGGGCGAATCTGTGTTTCTCAAGATATCGACAGGGAAAGAGATTCAGCTACCTATGATCTCCTGGTGAAAGCTAAGGATGGGGTAAGATTTTATATATGAAGTTTGTTTTAAACATAATCACAAGTGAGCCACTGTGTATACATCACAAAGGACCAATGATTACCAACAATTGGCTAATTTTGTTGCATGTGGCACTACCTCTTTCCTTTGCTGGAGTTTGTTGAAGCAAATATCAAGCATATCATTTCACCCATAAATAATTCAACAGTATCTCTAAAAAATAATGACTTTAAAAAAACAGAACTAGAAAACATTAGCAATAATACTTGAATGATATCTAATATCTTTTCTATGTTAAATTTTCTCGATTATCTAAACCTGTCTTTTATAGTTGATTTCTTTGAATGAGGATCCAAATAAGTTCATACATTGATTTGATTGATATATTCTTTACGTTTCCATCTATTACAGTCAGGCCTCTTACCTTTTCTCTTATGGCCTTTTTAAAAAACCAAGTCATTTGTCCTGTAAGTTTTCCACATACTAAATGTGGCTGATTACATCCTTGGGATTCATTTACCGTGTTCCTCTATCCTCTCTATTTCCTATAAACCGCCACTGAAGAGAGAGAGCTGATTGTTTCCAGATTCATTTAGGTGATGCCATGTGCTTCTTATTGCATCAACAGTCACATGCCATTATTTTATTAGACGCTGAAAAATGGTAACGTTTGAATTCTATTATTCCTTTTGCGTTGATTATCTGGAATTCTTTAAGGAAAATGTTCTCACAACTATTTGATTACTCTTTAGTATAATTTACATGGGAAACGCAGGATAAGACTTGATTGTTTTATTTTAGCAATTGTTTTGAATAGTAACTTGGTGTCTTAATTGTCTCCAAAGGTAAATAATAAGTTTTTTCCTAGTTTGAATATAAATTCCTGAATTTTAAAAAATTTGATGTATTTCAATACATTGCTGACCTTATCCTTTCTGATGTTCGGATTGACCCATTCTTGATCGGTGAAGCCACCTGCATTTTGATTCCTATGTCTTTTTTGTTGTTGTTAATCTTTCAAACTGACATATGAGATGCATACAGAGAAATGCACAAAGTTATAAGTGTATAGCTCAATGGATTTTTGTAAAATGAACAGACCCATAAAAGCAAATGAGAAAACATGACCAGAACCCAGAAGCCCCCTCTTTGCCTCTTGCTGTAACTGTCCTCCCTCCATCCCCCCACCCCACATCCCTGCCTTTGGAGAAATCACTGTTGACTTCTAACACCAAGCATTAGTATGCCAATTTTTTTTTCAGCTTTTGGTGAATGAAATCATACAGTATGTGTTTCTATCGAGTTTCTTTTGCTGAACATCATTTGTTAGAATCACTTAGGAAGTTGTGTATAGCAATAATAGTTCACTCATTCTTATTGGTTTATAGTGTGTCTTTATATGAATATATAATAATTTTAATCTATTCTATAATTTGTGGTATCCATTTTAGGCTATGCTTCTTTTAACATTCTTATATGTACAACATATTGGACAAATGTAAGCATTTCTCTTGAATATATACTTAGGAGTAGAATTGCACTCCTACCAGTAAAGTATTAAAGTTTTATTTGCTACACATTCTCATTAACATTTCATATTTAATGCTTTTTCTATTATAGCAATAATAGTACTTACATAATGGCATATCACATTGGGGTTTTACTTTGTGTTTCTTTGAGAGTTAATGAGTTGAGTTTTTTCATGTTTATTGTTATTTGTATAATTTGTTTTGTGAAATGTCTATTCTTCACAAGAAGAAAATCCTTTACTCATTTTCCATTGTTATTGTTCAATATTTTTCTTACTGATTTGCATGAGTTCTTTACATTTTTGGCCTGAAAGTCCTTTGTTGGATATATTTATTGCATATATTTTTTCCCATTCTGTGGTTGGCCTTTTCTAGCCTTAATGATTTCTTTTGAAGAACAGACGTTCTTCATTGTAATAGAGCTTAGTAGTTTCTCAGTTTGTTTCCGTTTATAGCTAGTGATTTTTGTGTTCTTTTAAGAAATATTTGCTTATCTTAGGGATATGAAGGTATTCTCTTATTGTTTTCTTCCAAAACTGTTTTGTTTTACCTTTCATACTTACTTTTATTCAATCTAGTGGGAAGAAGTTTTGTTATTTTTTCCCTATGGTTAACCCAGTACCACTTACTGAAATGGTTATTCTCAGTTTTACCTATTTATCCACCTTAGTGCTAGCAACATCTCTCTGAATTATTTTAGCTTTATCATAGGTCACCGTATCATGTATTCTTTTAGCTTTGTCCTAACTTAAGATTGTCTTGACTATTCTTGACCATTTACATTTCCAAATGCTGTTTAGAAACATGTGTTCAATTTTCATTTTTTACAGCAAAGGTAGCCTATTATATACACTGTTCTGCGTTTTGATTTTTTTTCACTTATTTTATTTTGGAGACTTTACTTATATTTTTCACTTATACATTTTGGAGACTTTCCTTGTTTCTTTTTTATTTGCTTACTACTCCTTTGTATAGACAGATCTTACTAACATCTCTCTGGTCTAATCTTTCTCTTTTGAAATGAGTGAGAGAATTCACCTATTTAAGCCATAAATTTTTGGTAAAAATGAGTCTACATATATTTATTGCAAGTAAACATGTAAAACCGAGCATGAAAGTAAAGCCCTTTAGATTCAATACAATACCCATGATCTTGTTGGTTAGATTTTTGCCAATACCTTAACATGTGGTGTCAGGAATCCCTGATTCTATGTAAGAAAATATGTAGGAAACAAAAAGTAGAAGTAAACAGAATTTACATTAATTCAAGTCTATGTAGTTATTTGAAGCTCAATAGATACATGCCAAAATGTTAATTCAAGGTTTTAGAAATGTATTCTTGATAGATTTTGAGATAATTATATAGTGCCATTCTAGAATTGAACAATGAGTTTAAATAAACTATTCTCATGTAAACCACCATAAAGAATTAGCAATGTCTTCCAGGCTACCATCTGCTGTCCACTGTGATCTAAATGAACCCCTGTTGATTTGACTTGCTCCCAGGTCCTAGTGGACAGATGCAAGACAGAGATCCTTGTAGTGGTAGAACTGCTGTCCATCAGGAGAAGCAAGCTGCCCTGCAAACACTCATAACCTGTCTGTCATGTCAATGCTCCACCACAGCCTGAAGAGCACAGTGCCCCCAGAAGTGCATTAGGCATTTTGACTCTAACCCAGGTGTCCTTTCTGGTATTGTAGATATAGAGGTCGTTATATAAGCAAGTTTTTTGGCCATTAAAATATTCACCTCCAAAAAGGATCAATTCATTGATTTCAGAATGAGCAGAGATTGACACATTTAGCCTTGGTGAAGGTGAGGAACATGATGGTTCTACACTCTGAGTCTTTTTAACATCTGGTGTCTGGCAATGGGTTATCAGAGCTTCGAGGTCTCCTTCTCCCCTGAGCGTTTGCATACCTTTCTCGTCTTGGTTGTGGTTTTCTCCTTCTTGCCCTCTTGCCTGTCTTGCAGGTGTGAGGCTGAATGGAGACCCAGGGAGCTGTGTGCAGGAAGGAACCCTCTTTGAAGCAGATCCCCTCCTGGAAATAGGTTCTTGTGAAAACAGGGCCTGGTGCAAGCCCAGGGATGCATTTTAAGAGACAAATTCTAGAAGAGCTCTCTGCATCATAGGCTTTTAACAAATCCCTTCACTCTGGACCTAAAACTGCCTCCAGCATTTCTTATGTTTGCTTCAGAATGTATGGAGAGCAAGCAATATATGTGTTTTCATGTCAGTGTATGTGTATGTATAACATATAGTATATATATATATATATATATATATATATATATATATATGTATAAAACATATATACAAATATAAAGTTAACCAGTGTGCAGTGCTTATTCTGTTGACTGCAGAATCCTCATGAATTTCTTCTGTGATAAACTGAGTTTTTACAGGGTGGATTCTTCATCTATCATAATTATTCTTTGTAATATTAATTAGCACTACATATCCCTCAGAAATGCATAGTCAAAAAAATTGATAAGGAGAAAGATGACAAGGTTGGTAATGACTCAGTAGTCCTTCCCTGAAAGCAATGTAGACTGCATTCAAAGAATAAATTAACTCAGACAGGATCTTTTAGGTTTACATTGTTGGATTCTAGGCCATAATGAATTTATTTAAAACATTAAACTGAGCCTTGACAGAAGTCCTTTAACTTTATATTATTACCTTGCCAATCTATGGTTTTTTTCCTCCGATTCTCTCTCTTTCTAATAAATGTCCTGAAAGCCCTTTAGAAGAAAATTGCTGAGAACCCTTTGCTAGTGGTTACTAAGATATTTTTATCTGCCAATAGAGGAATTTTTCTTGTAAAATATGCCTGCTGTTCTTTGCCACTGCTCTATTTATCCTTGTGATGACTGTCAACATTGTTTTCAACCAAGTCACTTCTATTCTACTGATATTTCTTCTGAAATACTCTATTTTTGCTACTACTGCTGCTGCTATTTATCTCGTAAGTCACGAGAATGCTATAAAGTTACACAATGGAACCAAACAATTGGATTACATTGGCAATCAAGTGGTTTTTCGCAATAAAGCTCTGTAATTTAATTATTCCATGCTTAGATCTAATTTTCTGTTTTCTTTTCCCATTCATTTTTAACAAATAGGTTTTTTTTTGGTGTATACACTTATTAACACTCTATCTCTATTTTTTTTGTTACATCCCGAATTCTGTAGCTGACATATGTGTCTGAGATGAAGATATTTCAACTCCATCTCACCACTCAAGATTTAAGGGAGGATTTTGTCAGACTAGCAATATAGGAAGTAAATGGACTGAGCTCTTCATTGTTGTATAGATTCATGAAGAAAACTTGGCTACTGAAGTTGTACTCATAGTTTGTGTGCAATGCAGTTACTATCAAAATGTAAACTTGCTGAATACAAAGGCACACTCATTTTTGTTTTAATAGATTATGTTCTTCCACTTCTAACAAATGCTTAAGTGCTTATTCCTGTCTTTCATTTCCTT